GTAATCATACCTTTTTTATAACAGTACTTTAGAAAAGAATTCAGAATTTAAAAGCATGAAGGTATATTCTTTAATGAAAAAGTAGCGCACAGGTCTTGAATTTTTTTGTTAAAAAATGTAATTATGTCTTTTTTTTATGACAAAAATCTGCAAAAGCGTCCTTCTATGTTACGTGAATATGCTTTTTACTGAGCGAATAACACAATATGAAGTACAATACACGCGTATGACAAAACGCTCGGTCGAGGGTCACAGGTCCTTCACTTAATCGAAAACTGTGCAGGAAGGACTCGTTCTGCAGGATCCGAGTAATATTGACGATCGCGACGGGTCTGCGAATCCTACAACATTCTCGTTCGTAAATCTTTACGGCTTGTCTCTTCATGGTACGTCGGTTTTACGATCGTACTTTTATGACGGCTTCGTAACCGATCGCGTACCCAGCTTTACACTTCCGTCGCGGTTACGAGCTTGTTCCGAGATATACTCGACCAAGGGCCCGTAAGTATTATTAATAATTGACAGCCTGCGCTCTCACCGGAAGGACTTATAGACTTAAAAGGGATTAGCCGATGATTATGTCGATATTTTAACTTACGATCTTAATTATACACAGTGAAAATCATTTTGTATTCGTGTTTAAAACCGATTTTTATTAAAACTTCTGCGTTAAATTTTTAACATATTTGATCATTAATAATGTGATCGTGTTATTAGAATATTTTATGTTAAATTGACATTTATTTTTTATAATTTAACATATTATATTTTAATATATGTTATACACATGTTAATTTTACTAACGAATATACTTTCATAATTTGTTTTCAAATTATGTCAAACTATTTAATTTCTTTATCTTGATTTTTTACATAATATTTGTATTACTGTCTGTATATATTTATTTTGTGTTAAATAAGCATAAAAATGTGGGTGAATCGTTTGGTCATTTGAAATTTGTTAAATTTAACACGTTCTTTAATATTTATATAAATCGCGACATGAATTATGTGTTAATTCATTTTTTAAATAAATAATTATTACAAATAAGATAACGAAGAGACAGAAAATCTTTGATTTTGGCTTTGATGAATTCTATTAGTACAGATAAATTTTCAAGTAATTATAATGTATATTTATCTATTCTGAAAAGCACGATCGCAAATCGCCATTGATTGATGAATTGTGAAGAAATAATGATCGCGACTGATTGCATGAGACCGTTAATCGATAGTGTTCCACGGTGGTTACAAGAAACGCATTTGTTGCAAGAAGTGAACGGCAGCCAGACTTTATAGTCGTTGATAAATTCTCCGTCATCGATAAAGATAGATGAAGTCTTTGTGATCTCATATTCTTGTCTGAAGAACTAAACTGGATCTGATCTCTTTTGCATAGAAATTTTCATAGCACCGACACGCTATATGTAACAATAAAATGTTATAAAAATTATCAGATACCTTTAGGATTCTTTAATTTTGATTTTTAATTAATTTTTTTGATGAAACGTGTTTCCATACAATTATATTAATTAAAAATACGAATTTTTTGACAAATTAAATTTCAGAAGAGAAAATGCACGTGACAATAGATTTACGATATTATAATTAATTATATATAATGTTTAATAATCTCTTTGATTTTCCAATTATTGTCTAATTAATTTGTCTCAATTATTGTCTGTAGTTTTCGATACGTCAAGTTATATAGAATAAACACTTAGCTTATTATAATGATTTTCAAAGTGAAAAAAATATTACATTTTTATTAGCGAGTTATATAAGATTTTACCATACTATGTTTACTAGTTTACACCCTCTATAATAATTTAATTTTCAAGAATTTTATGAGAAAAATAATTTTCCGGCCAATAATTTTCCAACTCATGATATAATAGTCTTTAAAAAGCGTTTTCACGCAGCGCAATTGTCGCACACCGAAATCCTCTCTGGCTCGCAGTGAGCTTTTAACGTTCGCTCACCCACCGTGATTACTGGCAATTAATTGAAAACGCGCGGCGGTACAACCATCTACAAAGACACAACGGGGTTCCATCGAGGGTGGAGGAAATGGGGAGAACACAGAGGTAGATTACAACGGTAGAGAGAGAAAGGGGAGTGAGAGAATGAGAGAACGAGAGAACGAGAGGAGGGGAATCACGCAGAGGAAGCGAGAGAGAGTGAGATGGGATAGGGAGGGCAGTGAATTAAGTTTCTCCGCCCCTGAGGCCGACACATTCGCTGACACTCGTCACGACCATCCCCTGAGGGTACCGCGAATCTTTCAATGGAAATTCTGTCGCGAAGGGGACGCTGTACCGCCTCGAGGTGCCCAAGGATTATAAATCTACGGTGACACGATATAGAATCTTCTCGACAGCCCGAAAAAGCGTTTGAAGTGCGAGATTCTAAGAATCAGTTCGAATCGAAGTAAGTATCTTGTTCGCAGCTTTTAGGGACTCTTCGAATTTCTTATTTATTATTCCTCTGCATACATTTATCATTCGCGCGTGATTGCACACCCTATGCGTGATTGCACCTTTTTCTGAATGCCAATCGCAACTTTTCGCGATAAGTTCCTTTGACGTAGTTTTTGATAAGACAAGAAATAAAAAAACTTTTTCTGCTGTAGTAAGTTGAATGTTGAGATCGTGTTACTTGTTTGTGTCTCGTATTTAACCTTTGTTTCTCGTTTTCATAAAACAACATAAAAACAGTCATAGTTGTATTAATTACGAGTTCAATCTTTCTTTTTTACGCACATGAGATTCTTACGGTTCTAGTTTTACAATATAATCCTTAAATCCGGATCTACAATACTTATTTTAAGTCTTAATCCATAAGAAATTCATCAATTACAGTCGAGGAATTATGATCCGTCCATTTCTTATTGTAGATCCGGGCTAAGATATTTAATTGAATGTCATGCTTTATTGTAATACTTTAATCATGTTTCTATATACACTATCAATACTGAAATCTATATTATATTATGGAAAAAACAGTTTTGCTGAAGTATCTAAATTTTTAGCTAAATACAAATCTGAACATAGTTTTGTTGCATTTTATTAAAAAATTATATAAGACACTCAAATTGATTACTAAAATGTCAAAACATTTGACATTGCTCATCATGTTTGAGTATTCTATTTACATAATTATTTTCAATTTTGATAGTCCAATAAAATTATTTTTAAATCTATGTCCAGCTAAATTTTTAGATGCTTCAACAAAACTGATTTTTTTTTCCACGTACGTAAACTATAGATTTTCAGTATTGGTAGTGTATATTGGAACGGCCTTTGTATATTCATTCGGTTACTCCGAGAGAATTTATCCCCGAGCGTAACGCGAATACTATCAATAATAACGGCTCTCTAAATTTTGAACACGAGTCATATAAAAATCCGAGGGAATCACGCGACACGACAAGCGAATGTCAAGTCCAAAATGACACCACCGGTATGTCCATAAAAAAGGTACATTTATATTTCAATATCGGGCGTACGCGGGCATTTTTCTCTCCTTTCCTCTGTCCCTTTTTCTCTTTTACCAGCAGTAAAACAGCGGACGATGACGACAAGGGTGTCGAGAGCATTTGTGTTATTTAACCACTTATTGCACGCGCGCTGACGTTTTATGAGGAAGGGAACAACGATCCTCCGCCTCCATCGCTAGGACAATAGAGGCGCACCTGTCAGACTATCGACGTACCATAGCACAGCCGTACCTGCGTTATTGCAACCCTCGTCTTTTATTCCACCGTTTTAGCGATGGCATTGATATTCTCGCGTGCGCGATGCGGAACACTCGAAGCGCACATATCAATCTCCTGTCACAACCACTATTGTCCGACGACGATGGTGGGCCCAGTTACGGAAGTTACGAAACAGTGAGAGAAATCGTTTCTACAAATTTCTTTTTTCCTTTTATTATCTGCCACCAAATTGTTATATTTTTCGCTTTGCAACGCGTACGCTTTCCGATATTTTAGCTAAGATATTCATACATAATATTGGGTCATTTAAAAAGTATCCGCGGTTTTTTCATTCAAAAATTGAACAAAAAACCGCGCATACTTTTTAAATGACCTAATATAAATCATGAAAAAGACATGATAAAATTTTCGTTCTTTATCTTCATTTTTGAATGAAATAAAGTAAATGAAGTTTACGTTAATTCCGTCGAAAAATATTTAATGTTAATTAAATTATAGAAATTTTATTATATTTTTAATTTAATCAAGTTTATATCAAGTCGAGTTTATATCGATATCGATGCGCTCATTTAAACAGACGCCCGCTTGGTTTGCTGTCGAAAACAATGTTGATAGTCCGTTTTAAACAAGCGTTTCTCGATTTCGAGTCAATGCGAATTGATATTGGCTGGAAGATGGACTCCAGTGCGTCGCTACGCTCGATCGCTTATCGCTGCAATCGACTTCGACATTGCTACTGATTGCACGGACTGCTGTGGTTTATTGCGACTGGTGCACTATCATCACGTTGTTTCTCTCTTTCTCTCTCCATTTCTCTCTTGTTCGTTGGTACCGTATCCAATGGACAAAACAATCTCAAAATAGGATCGTGATTGCGCTCGGAGAGACCCACTAACTTGACTAGAGTTAGAAAACTAAACTAGCTCCTCGTAATTGCATTCGTGAACCCTTTTTTTTTATATTCTGCTTGTTCTCGCTAAAATGCAAAATGCAATTGAGGAAATATTCACGACTGTCCGCGAAAAAGGAAGGACAGATGCGAAAAGATGCTTTAATTGGAAAATGAACTTCCGAAGAGAGAAATATTAAATTCACAACGCGATGCGTGAGAAATGAAGGACGTATTTTTAAAGGATTAATTGAAATAAAATAAACTTGAAGAATTCGTGATCGAGATATAAAATTGCATTCATTGTTTTTTCTTTGCAATAAATATACGTTTCCATTAAATTGTTTAAGTTTTCGTAATTCGGCATTCATTCGCGTGCATGGTGTGTTTGCAGACAATCCTCCTCGGTGATAGCGGGGTTGGCAAGACTTCGTTATTGGTCCAGTTTGATACCGGAAGATTTCAGCCAGGAAACTTTGCGGCCACCGTGGGTATCGGTTTTACGGTAAGTAATACTGCAATACCGAGATATTTAATTAAAGTTTTCCAGCTCGATGAAACCATGGAATGCAATGAAAGCCTCTCAGTATTATTTTGCGAAGTTAAATTCAACGAGAGCCTTCTATTTACATTTAATTTCTATCTCCCATGTTTTTATTTATTCTTGTCGTTTTATTAATGAACTGTCGTTTTTGTCAGCCTATAATTATTTTAAAATTAATATTTGACATTCATATTGTATATTCGAGTTACAGTCATTTTTTAATTACGAGCTGGAAGGTGTTAGTACTATAGTTATATGTTCTTTGTCCGTTAGTTGCGATATCAATACATGTTACCGTACGATGACGTATCAACGTCTGACAATGTGAGCAACACGTTTATGTATGAGTCCAACGGCCATGAGATACATTTGCGTTCTATAAAAGCTTTGTCTCAGCGCGTTATGTATTAACTTCGAAGATCTTCGATCACACGTAATGATATAGTATTGAAATAAAAAATTAGAAACCAAAGGGAAATCCCAGTTCACATTTGATTTCTTAAATTTAATCAGTAATTATTTATTGATAAAATTGAAGTTCTTCTCATGTAAATGTAAATTGTAAGAAAACTATTATCTGCGTATAAAGTCTGATTATTTTAAGAGAGGATTTTTTTTTAGAAGTCAAAAAAGATATTTTTAGGATTTTTTTAAAGAAAAAACTTGAACTTTTTATTTACACAAAAGTATTTCATGAATATCTCTGATTTTTGCGTCCATATTAGACTCCTCCTTTTCCTGCTGTTTTCAACCAATGACGATCTGCGGCGATTTCTGGGAACTCGCATTTCTATTCTGTAGGACTGAAATAAGAAAATTAAAATTTATTTTTTTCGTTGAATGTTGTTTTGATAATAATAAAATGGTGGCCTGTCAAAATATATTTTCAGGCCGTCATTCTGTTATTTTCATACTTTGAGGCATTTTAAAGATTTAGTATCAAAAATAATGTCCAACGAGAAAAACAAACTTTGATATTTTTATTTTAGGTCCATAGAATAAAAGTGACAGCTTCCACAAATCATCGCGGACCATCATTGATTAAACCATAATAGTGGGAAAAAAGGCAGAATACGGACGCAGAAATTGAGAAATATTTATGAAATATATATCTTTTATGCATAAAGAGTTCAAAATGTTTGAATAAATAATTTTCTTTCAAAAAGTTCTTAAAAGTATCTTATTTTTTCGGCTTTTAGGAAAGAATTTAAGCCATTGCATCTTTTATAATATTACCATTCCTATTGCATTACGAATGCGAATTTTGTCTAACAGTGAGATATCATCTAACTATCTGTATGTATATCTCTGTATGTATAAGTAGAGATTCTTAAGGCTGAGTTATATGCGTTTGCATATGTTTGACTTCGAGTTCTTAACTTAAAGTAAACTTCGGATGAGCCGATAAGAAGCAAAACTAAACAAGCACTACTTGCAAATTCCTGTCGGTATCGCTGGTAACGTTACCACTTTCATGTCCCAAATACTGACGATACATTATTTGTTATATTTGCCCTAGGAATTTAGTAATCTTTGCGAAGGTAAGAGGAAGAAAGACGTTGTTGATGCTGTTATGTGAATATCTATTGTAGACACCACGTAGATTTGCACGTCGTCTAAAACGTTGGCGTTGTTTGCCGTCGTAGCATCAAATGAATATTTATGGCATCTCCTTCAGACTTCTTGTCAGGGAGAAATTCGATTTATGGCTACGTCACCGATTTGAGAGAAAGAGAAAGAACGAGAAACATTGCGGGGGTCTGTGACAGCCATTTGCATTTGATATTTTCGCAGCCGGGCCGACGATTATCGGGGGCACCAGCCTCGAAAAAAAGTCGTTCGAGCGAGTAGGGAGCCCCTCCCTTTTGTTAACCACTCGATTCCCCGATTACCCCACGAAACGAGCTTTCACGAGTCACCGAAAAGATGAAGAGAGGTGAAATGACAAAAGAGAGAGAAAGAGAGAGAGAGAGAGAGAGGGACAGGTCGGTAGTTACAGAAGCGTTTGTATTGAGGTTTTCAGGTGGTTGGTTACCCGCCTTTGATGGAAACACCGGCAGAGAAAGTCTTTGTGATAAACTATGCAATTACGGGGGAGGAACGTCGGTAGCGGCCGACTTGTGAATCGTCCAGGGAGTAGCTTCAACTCGACCTTGGCATTTATCAAGCGCATAGCACGTGTCTGTCAGCCTGCAGTCGGTCATAATTCTTCATCGTCAACTCGATTATCCGTGGAATTTAATGCTTCGCCACACGAATCTTGTTGATAAACATTTTGCGTTTACACAAAAAGATATCTTAATAAAAAAGTTAACTAACGAAGACATTTTTTATCATCGAATATACAGAAAAATAAAGCCACAAAATTTATTTATACATAGTTGATTTGCGTCAGGGTGTTTGTACGTTTACACTTAACATATAATAATCTATATCTATCTCTATATGCCATTAAATTCATAATGTCAAATTATATCCAATTTGAATTATTTTTAATTATTTTTATATTTTAACGCTACTCTTACTGAATATATTAATTTAACTAAAACAATTTAACTTAGGAAAATATATTAAATTTGACTCAATTTATTATTTCCTAAGTGCATACGTTAATATGAATTTTGTTTACTTTGAAACTAACTACAGAAATGGATAATTTACATTTTAACATATATGAAAGTTAAAAGCAAAACGTTATTTAACTCAAGGGATTAGGTTGCCATTGCTTTTTTCTAACAGTGTACGTATTACAAAATTATATAAAATTGTAAATTATATAAACTATGTTTTACGAATCATCCATATAAATAATCCATAGCTCATCGAAGCCTATATTCTTTGTCATTGCATTAGTCTAAGACTCCTATTGCGCTTATATATTTTTATTTATCAATATTAAAATTAGATATATTAATAGTCATAAAAAAAAATCTAATTTATTTTTAATCAATTAATTAATTTAAATGATTCTTTTTGTATTCTGTTATCCAATTTATCAAAATTTACGTATTTTACATTGCTTATATTGTCTACAAAGAAAAAATTCACGTAAACAATGCGTAAACAATTTCCATGTAAACGTTATCTTAAAATATAAGGTACAATCCCCTGGTTTACAGTCTTCACACGTGGAGAACTTTGTTGTGTCCCCATTATAGGAGGCTTTACTTCCTCGATAGAGTATCGTAATATAGAACTTGGATGTCGAGTCGTTGATGATTATAGGGCATCGAGTCGCTGCACTTTCCAGTTACGAGAACGCATCTCGCAGCTCCTCCTCTCTCGCACGCCGGTGGCTGTTCGTCGTTTCGCTAACAGTTCGAGAAAGTTGAAATTGCTCTATCAAAACGACCGTCCCGCTGCGGATTTCTCCGGCAACGCGAGAGAGTCTATCTTGAACGCTCTCCCGCGCATGAAAGTTTCATTTCATTACAAAACCGAGGAACGTCGCGGACAGACGTACGTGCGATTTAGAGAAATTGCTTGCGCGATTTTTCCTTTCAAGAAAACAGTAATTAATATTTGATTAAGAAAGATCTGCGAGCGCGCGATTGGAATTAATATTGCACAAAGTGTTTCGGTCGATTTTCGATATCGCGCGTGGAGTACGATTTCAAATGAACTCGGCGATATTGCTTACAATTATCTTTGTTTATTTAGTTTTTGAATAAATAAGAGATAATCTGTTTTTCTTGCTGCATTCTGAATCGGTGCAATAAGTCGAAGTAAAATAAACGCATATTTGTTTTACTTCAATTTATTGCACTGTATGTACTAGTTCAGAAAGTGCAGCAATAAAAAACAGACCTAAGATCTTTCTCTCTCTCTCTTGCAGCTGTTATGCAAATTTTTTTACAATTATATTTTATCGAGTTTGTATTTTGATCCTATTACAATTTACAAATAAGTATAATACTCGCACAGGGATTTTAATTATACTATTTTAATTTAATATCTTATGTGTTTACTGCAGTTTGATCTGTGTCTAATAATAATTCCGTTTGACGTGAGTGAGAGAGAGAGAGAGAGAGAGAGAGAGAGAGAGAGAGAGAGAGAGAGAGAGAGAGAGAGAGAGAGAAAGAGAGAAATCGAATGTGTTCTGTAATTAATACGGGAGTGTCCCTTTCTGTATACATTTAATTTGTACTGAGGAAGAGTCGATGGTCAGAACTAATTAATTACTGCGAATTCCAGCTCAAGTTAAAGACCGTTATAGTTAATCAGCGTCCATCCAACGAGGAAGAGTCCGTATTAATTAAACGCTTACGCGTACTGAACGTCCATCTTGTTAATTAATCCTGGCTCGCTCAATTAAGTGTTTCTCGCGATGTCTCAACATCATCTTCAATATGCATCGTGTATGAGAATTATTACTCAAATACGAGATCATATTAGGAAAATTTGATCCAAATAGCTGTCAAATTGATTTGTCTTGGTGGTACTGAATATTTGAAAATATGTATCAATCGATACGTATTAGCGAATGCATACATGTGAAAATAATTAATATTGGACTTGATTTTGGAATTCGGCTCTGCCGAGATTTTCATTACCTACGTAATTACTATCTGCATGTGACGATTAATCGCGTTTCATAATTGACGAATTTCGTTGAGTCCAAGTATCAATAACGACTTCTATCTATTACATAATTTACGTATTAGCTTGGACGAAAAAAAAATTAATGTATTTCTTTGCAAGTTGTGCATTAAAATTTTTGTCAACGTCGCCACTTATTTCTCATTTTTATCGCTTGCTTCTTAAAATTCAATGCAAAATTCATTATAAATGTATAGGGATGGAATCGAATAGAGAAAAATCCCACCGTCTGTGTAAGGTTTGCGATGACAGAGAATGAAAATGGACCATGATCACATTGAAGCTTACCAGCGCATAAAGCAAAGAATGTGAGAAAATGTCGGAACGATCTTTGACAAGACTCGAAAGAGATGACACAAAGC